GGAGGGGGAATTTGAACAACTATCTTCAAAAACTTCAAATGCCCTGGGTTATCCATGGGTGATGTTAAAGCTTCGATTTGACCGATACATTATTTAATAAAATTTATTTGAGGTGGCATAAAGCAGTGTTGCGTCCTCGTACCGACCTTATTTGAGATTTTTCGTCGCTGTCCTGCTGAAACAAGCCTTTGGACATGCAACAGAGGGCATCTACCTCCGGGCCACGTTAGACGGAAAGCTTTTCAACATCTCCACACTAAACGCAAATTTCAAAGTCCAAATGAAATATCTGCGTAATCTCCTCTTTGCCGACGATGCAGCCGTCACCGCCCACTCAGCCGAGACCTTCAGCGGCTCATGAACCGTGCGCGTTTCAGCAAGGCCCGCCAGGAGCCCATGGGCCCGCTAAGACTTTGGACTAACCATATAGTCTAAAAAAGACAAAACACAGGTCATGGCTCAGGACTTGGATTCACCTCACAGCATTACAATCTTGAAGCACGAAGTGGAGGTTGTCCATGACTTCGAGTACCTTGGCTCGATCCTCTAAGACACTTCTTCTCTGGACTCCGAGCCAAACAGCAAAGCAAAGCAGCCACTGCCATTTCCAGCCTGACCAAGAGAGTATGGTCTAACAAGAAGCTGACGAAAGATAACAAGATCCAGATCTACAGAGCCTGTGTTTTGAGCATACTGTTGTACGGCACTGAGTCCTGGACTCTTCTCGTACGACAGGAGAGGAAGCTTAACACTTTCCACGTGCGCTGTCTCTGCCGCATGCTCAACATCACCTGGCAGGACAAAGTTCCAAACAACATAGTCCTGGTGCAAGCTGCAAGATTGGGCGACGGCCGGATCCCTGAAAGATCTCTTTTACTGAGAATAAGCTCTGGGAAAGCGCCCCACTGACAGGCCTCAATGATTACGCTGTAAAGATGTCTGCAAGAGGGACCTGAAGGCCTTAAGCATTGACATCAACAAATGGGAAACCGTGGATTCGGAACGTTTTGCTTGGAGGCAGGCACTGCAGCAAGGCCTTTTCGAGTTTGAAGAGACACTTGCCGAACAGGCTGAGACAAAGAGATAAACGAGGAAAGCCTGGAACGAGGGAGACCTCATCTGCTCTCCACATCTGCTCACTGTGCGGAAGGGACTGTCATTCCCGAATTGGTCTTTCCAGCCACACAAGGCGCTCTTCGAGTACCATTAATCAGAGCGCGACACCATAGTCTTTCGAGACTAAAGCAAGCCAATGGACAATTAAAACAGTCACCAACACGACCTATTTGATCAGATCACGATTGAACCACACACAAGATCGATAATTCCAACAAATTAAACCTTAAATTCAAACAACCGCCGAAAGTTGGGGTTTTGTTGGTTTGAAAACACATAAAATGTTGGCATCAGATTAATCATAAAGCTATAATGTCACCCGGCCAGCAGAACCTTTCTTTCGCTTACTCGATTTTGACGCAATAGAGACAGACTCAGTCCGTGAATCGAGCAAGATCGTTGTTGAGCATGCGTTGGATGTTACTTGGATACAGCTTCGAATCCGGACCTAATATCCGTACGCTTGGAACAGCAGGATCTTGAACATCGGTTTATCAATAAACGGAAGCTCGCACTCGAGAAACCAGTTTGACAAGAGAAAACAAGATTGACTAGTCCAGAAGTTCGGGCTGCGTTTACTTAAAAGGATTGACGCCATTCAGGCAGAGCCTCCTTTTTCCTTCGATGAAAAAAAGGCAAAAGGAGGCTCTCCCCACATGGTGGGGAAATATATTCTGTAGCCAGGGCAGCACAGGCAACCCGGGCTTTATTTTCTGCCCACGACGTATTACCCTTTACATACAAGAAAAGACAGATAAATTAAAGAAATGGTGAAACATGAAAAGACACAACAACATCCATACAAATATTACAATTATAATGTTTACAACGGCATTGAGATGACATGTCGAAAAGAAGGAGATATTTATTAAATTCTTTCAAGTAACAATGGTGTTGAACGGTCAACCTCGAATCCAATCCCTTTTTGGTCAGCGAGACGACACCATGCTGATGAAAAATTCCAGAAGACTCTGGCAACGAGATTGTTTCGCGTCATTCTTGTTCGTAGGGGCCACGATCCTTTTGGTCAGCGCCAATATATCTTTGGCGCTGAACAAAACAATCGCCGCCTCTGGGATCGAGAATGTTGCCAAAACTGTTCGCTTTTTGTTCTTTGCAGAATCAAAACCATGGGCAACAAAATTGATTGTTGTTACAACACGCGTTGGTCCTACCAATGTATCTTCCCTTGCATTCGTTTTTGCACATACACCGGGCGCCGAGTTTGGTACAACTACGACGGATCGGAGATGGTCCAGCCCCTCGTGCATCTCTACCACCCCAAAGCCACTAGCGTGAGCAGTTTGCCGGAAGCTTTTCACGGAATTGATGACGACGAAGATATTATGGATCAAATGGAGCAGTCCGGTGGTTTGTAGCCATAAACAAAATTTATAATAATTACGTCTAAACGAAAAATGACTGACTGGAGGAACGGGCAAGTTGGCGAATAAATGAAACAAGGAAAGCTCTCTAATTATAGACCCGCAACTCAGACAAACAAACTGAAATTGACATTAGCGAATTCCTCACTTTTGCCATTAAAATGCGAAAAATGTCAAAACTCAGACAAAAACTGCAAATTAGTCACTCTGACGTCATTCGCGCGCTACGCTATTTGAACCGTAGCCTCGATTTCGTGTGACAAGCACTGGTTGACTGGCTGCGAAGCAAAGGTCCCGGTAAGCTTTGCGTTTTACTTGATGGTATTTTTTAAAAAAAAATGTGTTTCTTTTGTACAATGATGATTAAGTTGTATTTACAACAAATACAATACGGATGATTCGTTTTTACAATTAATAGAGGTAAACTTACTTTGAGTGTCTGCGTGTAATGTTTACCTGTTAAATTCAGCCACTCTGAACAAGAGTTTTGTTTATATTAAAAATGTCCACAATGCTTTTCTTAGCTTTCTTTCTACATGATGCCAATCATTTGCTGTATTTATGACATATTTGTTCGACAACTCTAGGTTTTTCCATCTATGTGGGGGTGAAACTTGAGCTACTTTCTAAAAACAATGGCGCGGCTCTCCCGTAGTGTTCATTGAAACCGGTCCGCAGACTTGGCTTCAAGAGCATTAGGAAGCTACTACATAGTTAAAAAAATAATACGGATTCTTTTTATTTTCCCTGGGGATGGGGGTATTTGTTCAGCTAGAATTGACGTACGATTTGGCATTTGGACGGCTTTGTGGCCCGCGGAGGGGGAATTTGAACAACTATCTTCAAAAACTTCAAATGCCCTGGGTTATCCATGGGTGATGTTAAAGCTTCGATTTGACCGATACATTATTTAATATAATTTATTTGAGGTGGCATAAAGCAGTGTTGCGTCCTCGTACCGACCTTATTTGAGATTTTTCGTCGCTGTCCTGCTGAAACAAGCCTTTGGACATGCAACAGAGGGCATCTACCTCCGGGCCACGTTAGACGGAAAGCTTTTCAACATCTCCACACTAAACGCAAATTTCAAAGTCCAAATGAAATATCTGCGTAATCTCCTCTTTGCCGACGATGCAGCCGTCACCGCCCACTCAGCCGAGACCTTCAGCGGCTCATGAACCGTGCGCGTTTCAGCAAGGCCCGCCAGGAGCCCATGGGCCCGCTAAGACTTTGGACTAACCATATAGTCTAAAAAAGACAAAACACAGGTCATGGCTCAGGACTTGGATTCACCTCACAGCATTACAATCTTGAAGCACGAAGTGGAGGTTGTCCATGACTTCGAGTACCTTGGCTCGATCCTCTAAGACACTTCTTCTCTGGACTCCGAGCCAAACAGCAAAGCAAAGCAGCCACTGCCATTTCCAGCCTGACCAAGAGAGTATGGTCTAACAAGAAGCTGACGAAAGATAACAAGATCCAGATCTACAGAGCCTGTGTTTTGAGCATACTGTTGTACGGCACTGAGTCCTGGACTCTTCTCGTACGACAGGAGAGGAAGCTTAACACTTTCCACGTGCGCTGTCTCTGCCGCATGCTCAACATCACCTGGCAGGACAAAGTTCCAAACAACATAGTCCTGGTGCAAGCTGCAAGATTGGGCGACGGCCGGATCCCTGAAAGATCTCTTTTACTGAGAATAAGCTCTGGGAAAGCGCCCCACTGGCAGGCCTCAATGATTACGCTGTAAAGATGTCTGCAAGAGGGACCTGAAGGCCTTAAGCATTGACATCAACAAATGGGAAACCGTGGATTCGGAACGTTTTGCTTGGAGGCAGGCACATTATATTATGGATCAAATGGAGCAGTCCGGTGGTTTGTAGCCATAAACAAAATTTATAATAATTACGTCTAAACGAAAAATGACTGACTGGAGGAACGGGCAAGTTGGCGAATAAATGAAACAAGGAAAGCTCTTCAGCGTAGATTATAAGGGAGTGGTCAAGTGGAAGCCATCAAAGCCCTGAATTACGCCGAGTATCATTTTCTCTCCTTCTATCGCACCAGCAAGCGAGGGTCACTATTAAGTTTATTAGGATTGTCACTATTTTCGTCACTCTTTAAATAAAGGTTGATCAATTGACCAGCCAAGGGCGATGTCGAGGTGTGCTGAGCCCTTTCACACAGCGCTTTAAATTAAGATTAAAACCCCATTTCCAAACCAACTCAGAATTTTCACTCACTCCCTTGCCAACGTCAGGACAATTTCAAACAGCAGTCGAACCACAGCGACAAGATAAAACTGCAAATGGTTAAGTTTTGTTGATATTTTGTTTACTCAGGCCTTGACGCCCCCGGTCAGATTGCCGCTGTATGCAAGTATGCGTCGGACCATGGCTACACCATTCGTGCTGTTGGCACAGGCTCGTCATGGTCTCGTCTGACGCACACTAAAGACATACTTGTAGTCATGACAGATTTGAACAGGATACTGACAAAACCGGGGTCGTACAACGATAATGAGGAATGCGTTGACATCGAAGTCGAGGCGGGAAAGCTCGTTGTTGATTTTGTTGAGGAACTAGACAAGAAACATGACCGGGCGCTTAATATGATGGGGAATTACGCTGGCCAAACAGTGGGAGGAGTGGCGAACACTTCTACTCACGGATCAGGGATATTCAGTGGAACCTTGGTAAGGATATTCAGCTTGTAGATAGACAACGGATAGTCGGGAATAGGAGCTATCAGCATTAGTGCCTTTGGCTACACCCTCGCGCCAAGGGTTTTCCTCTCGGGAGAGAAAAGCTTCGACGGATTGTACAAACGGGAGCGCTGAACTTGTAATCCGCAGGCCTTGATGAGTTTAAGTCCCGCCCTAATCACTAGCTGGATTAGTTCTCGGTAGTCCCCAGTTCAAATCTTCGATCAAGCTCGTAAATAGCCAACTGGTTTGGCTCCGGCTAGTCAGGATTTTTAACCCCGTTAAGTTTCATTTGAATTATTTGTTTCAAGCATTTACTCGGCCCTACAAGCATTAGTGTTATAAGTACTGTCGAGGGCAAACAAAGGAGATTATTATCATTATAATTATTACAAACTCTGCTGAGAATATGTCTATGGCTTCCGAGATACAAGACACAAGTGTTTCAACGGTGACAGCGTTGTAGTCGAGTTTCTTCCCCACCCTTGTTCCCAAGGTCTCTTTCCCTGGAGAGAGAGTGGACGGGAAGAAGAGAGGCCCTAAAAATAAGGTTTTCACGGCCCGTGTCCAGTCCTCCCTCCCCCATCTTGCAAAGGCTAGCTCATGCCACATTTTGCCAGTAATTTCCAGCTATACAGATAACAACAATCAACCTTATATGTCTCGTTTCTAGTCCACTTTAGTAGTGGGCCTTCATTTAATCATATCTGGCGGAATCCAAGTGAAGGTGCGTGGCGGAAACGAAACCATACAAGCCAGCAAAGAAAAGGTTGACAACGCCAAATATGGGGATGACCCCATCGAGATAAACAGTGATGACGTCCTGAAGGCCTGTGCAGTGGGACTTGGTTCTATGGGAATAGTTTACTCCATAACATACCGTTGTGTTCCCGTGTACAATCTGGAGGAAATCAGAACCTTGTATCAACAAACCTGGACTTCAATAGAAGATTTCGAGGTCCCTCAAATCTTTGCTGAAATGTATAGAAACCAAGAGGAAGGAGAATACTTCTCGTTTTTTGTAAATCCATACCCAATAGGACAAGGGTAAGTCACTGCTGTTATTCATCCGGGATTTACTCCTGGAAAATTTAGGTTGGTTGTGTGGCATGTTTCCTGGCATGCTTATCCAGTTTCAAACCAAAATATACGACTGCTGTCCCTACCCTATTCAAGGCCCAAACCGCCATTGCAAAAAGAAAAATGATTAAAAAAACATATCCGTTCGTAGAAACTTTTTACACAGAACACAACGGCTTACCCTTTTTCAAAAATCTGTACCCAATTTTAGACCAAAGAGGTCAAAAGCTGAATCCTATAGTGTGGCAATGATATATATCTAGCGTGTATAAGGGAGAACCCCTGGGGAGTAGCCTCAGGAGCGAATTTATTATCCTTTTGTCTTTTTTTCCCCTAGGATAAACAAGCAGATCCACATGGCCTACTTGAAAGCCAAGAGAACAGAGAGTTCGCCCACGTGTTCTGCTTGCTGCTCATGCTGTTGCAATTGTTGTGGAGGTAGAGGAATAGCTGATATAGGCTGCATGCAGACAGACTGCACGGCTTCTTGTCTCCAGGGGTGCGCCAATTGTTGCCCGACCTGCATTCCACGACTCACCAATTTTGGACTGTCCCAGTTCTCGCTCAAAAAGCCGTATGTGCAAAAGTGGTACAACGTGTTACAGTTCACGAAAGGCAATATTCAGTAAGTTACCCGCGTGGATACTCTATGGTCACGAGTCCAAACTTATTATATCCCATAAAATGTTATTTTTTAGATGTGATTGTATTAACAATGTCTCGCGTCGCAATTAAGGCTGGATATCTTGAAATTAGCATTTTCCTCTGTGTTTTTAATTTGCGTGATATGCTCGCCAGTCAATTTTCCTCCTCAAATAAACCGGACAACGAGAGCTGAGTATTGAGATCAGTAAATAAAAACACTTTTTAAATGCTAACACTTTTGTTTTAAATGTCTGACTAAATAGCAAATATTTGAATTAGTACCCACTACAGCCAGCTAGAGCCTCCGTTTGACTCAAAATTTTGCACGGATAATATCTGCAAATAAGATGTAGTACAGTTGACTCCCGATAACTCGAACCCTCGCTAACTCGAACCTCGCGCTAACTCGAACCAAAATCGATTTCCCCTGGATTTCCGTCATACTTTTACTGTAAATCGAACCCTCGATAACTCGAAACACCTGCTAACTCGAAGTAATTTTTGTTTCCCCTCAGATCATTTCTATATAATTTTACCTTCGATAACTCGAACCATGTTTTGAGCCCTTAAAAAGTCGGGAAAAATGTGTGTACTGCCTCCGAAACATTGAATTTTGAATTTCCCATTGACGTGTTGTAGGCATCTAGTCTACTAGTGGATCGATAGTGGAGGCTGATGTTGTTTGCCACAAATCTAACGTGAAATAGCTTTACTTCTCAAAAAATAAAATGCATGCTCTATTTAAGCATCGTTTTGTTACTTTACGTTCTGATTTATAATCTAACAGTATCTTTCAATTTTCACTCAACATTTTTACAATTAAATGAGATTAGAATACTCACTGTGCAGTAAAAACTGTTTTTTTCCTTACTCCCGGCTATTTTCTTCGAGCTCCCGATAACTCGAACTTTTTCCGATTTCCCTTGAAGGTTCGAGTTATCGGGAGTCGACTGTACATTGCCCAGCCAATAATACGTTATCTAATTAACTTGTGGGGTTTTGTAATAACGCAAAAACGCCGATAACGTTATAGCCTTTTAGTTTTACAAATGCGAAAGCAAGAAGACATAAAAAAGGACAAATTAAATTAGTTATACGTAACTAGTAGTACAGCTTGTATGTTAAACGAGAGATCTATGTGTTAGAAGACTGCGGAGTATTGTATATAAAAATTGTCCTCAGAAGCCTTTTTTAATTTCTCACGTACGGTTGTTCATCGTTATTTCTCGTTCTTACTTTTGCTGTTGTTGTTATTTCTAATTTACTTGATTTTGAGCGGTATAAAATATTCTATCTGAGTTCTCAGGCTTGCTTATTTGATGCCTCTATAAATCTACTTATAGATTTCAGCGTTTCTCATACTTTGAGAAAGCTTAATCCTTAAAGATGCAGGATTCTAACTCTAATTCTAATCGTATAATCTGCAAAGGGTATATCCCATCACAGCAGATATTCAAGTAGTTTTAAAAATCTTGTTCCTTCTTTTGTTTCAGCGTGGCCACCGCGGAATGGTGTTTGCCTTTGAAGGACCTGAACAGTGCCTTGGGTACGGTCATACAGGTGGCTCAAGATTACGCACACAGGCACAATCAGTACTCTTTGCTACCTATATATGTGAGACTAGTGAAGACGGATGATCTGTTTTTGAGCCCCGCGAGCAAGTTTAGACCTGACGGAAGCCGTACCAGTGAAATTAACTGCTATATTGAGGTGAGAGCACGGGAAGGCCGTACACTTCACATGTGTAACCGCAGAGAAACCGTACTGGATGATTAATAGTAGAGCGATGCACTGCTTCAGAAGTGATATTTTGAGCGATTTTAAGCGATCCAGCGTTTGTCATGACTGCACATATATAGCACAGTCCAGTCTTTCATGACGGACATCTCTATAAGACGTACACCTCTCTAAAACGGACACCAGGGGTTGGTCCCTGCCGTTTTTCATACTTTTCTCAGTCTCTCTATACGACGGACATGTACCTCCCTAAAATGGACACCTGGAGTTGGTCCGTTCCGTCCTTTACTCCTTCCATGCAGTTAACTCTCTGAGGGAAGACGGACACTTCGTTCAAACAAACACTTAGTGTCGTTTATAATTGTGTCAGGATCCAATTATCTCCTGTCTTGTCCATTGTTGAGAGATTTTACTGTATTCGATCTATATTCTGATCGGCTGACGGTAGAGTTTGACAAAACGAAAAGGGTGGAATTCCCGTCGGGGTCGTGTATTTGGAACGTTACGATCGGGCGACGCGATGGCAGCGAAAACTTACGCGATGGACGCCTTTTGAGTTCTTCGTAAATATTTTCTCCGCATGGCTAGCCACTTAACGCAACTGGCATTTGCTATCTTTAAGTGGCTGCGCTCTCTTTTTTGCTAATTTTCAACCCGTAATTTTCGTCTCTGTGTATATACCGAGAGCACTTATAAAGATTGATTAATTCATTGAATCGAAGTAGCTTTGAAAGTGGATCCTGGACGTATCTCCTCGTCAATTTGAATAACAGTTAACTATTACAGGTAATTAGATTAAAAGTTGTTACCCTATAAAGTTCAGACATTTTTCAAGACCCTCCACCTCCTCAAAGGGCGTTGAAAAGAAAGAAGCCTCTGGTGGTTTAATAAAACTTTTACTGTGCACTCGCTTTAGGTACCATTCCTCCCCGGAGCTTTCGGAACTGAAGAGTTTCAAGAGGTGGTGGAAAACAAACTCTTTAGAGAATTCAAGGCAAGACCACACTGGGGAAAGAATAACCGGCTTAACGAAATGAAGATACGCGCTCTCTACGACAAGGAGAAGTTGCTCAAGTGGATAAAAGTGTACAAGATGTTCAACAAGGGAGAGTGTTTTGACAATCAGTTTACCAACAAAATGGGTTTTAATTTGTTTCCTCATATCGACGAACAGCCAACTGCCTAGAGACAAACGTTTAACTTTCTTTCGCGTCTTTCGTAGGTATCGCTGATCTTTTTTCTGACAAGTGACTCCAGGGGACTAGGCAGTTGAACGTTTTTGTTGGGAACTAAGTCTGATCTGCTCATGCTAGTACTGTAGAGCAACTCTGCAGTATTTGAAGTTGTGGTGGTTAATATAGAAAATGTTAAATTGTAGAACTAAACTGTTTACAAGCGGGGTGAGATCCTGATTTGTTGTATGGATTTGCTTGTGATTCGAGAGTGTTTGCTAAAATGGGAGATAAGTAAGTAATGATGGCGCGAACATTTATTAAGTGAGGCTAGTTTTACTGAAGTAGTACACGACGTTAATCCTCAAAACGATTTGCTTTCTAACTCGAGAAACATGACAGCGTTTAACAAACAAATTCAAGTATGTAATCAAATGGTAATATGGCAAATACATTGTAAAGAAACAAAATAAATAATCTTGTTTGGAGAAACTCGCAACGTCGCTTTTCAACTTGTTTAGCAGCAATGAATGAAAAACAAGTTTACGTTTTTGTTGCCGTTTCAGCGTAGCTCATACGCTTTAACATAAAGTAGTTATAGCATGAATTTAAGTAGTGATAATGAATATGATTTCTCTTCTTGTTTTACCGTTCTTTTCTTGCCAAAAAATGTAGATAGCATATGACTGGGTGAGTGAGAGAAGAACAAGACTATTCAATGGCTACAATCTTCTACTCGAATTTTGCACTCTGAACTTTTTGTTGGCTTAGGTAACTTGCTGGACTTGTTATCTCAATTTTGTTTATCTAAATGCTCATGATCTTATCTATAGAAACCAGTCTGGGTTCAGGAAGCTGCACAGCACAGAGACGGCGATCGCTTATATAGTTGATACTCTGTTATTTAATCTAGACAAAAACAAGATTAACGGTATGGTCTTTGTTGATTATAAGAAGGCCTTTGACATGGTTGATCATGCGACTTTGCTAAGCAAGCTCGAAGCCTACAATCTTGATAAAAACGCTTTACTCTGCTGCAAATCATATTTAACTGATCATACTCAATTGGTTTCATTCATAGGACAGTTATCGTCCTTTGGGACCCTAACAGCAGGTGTGCCACAGGGCTCCATGCTGGGACCCTTGCTTTTTGTTGTGTTATCAATGATCTACCCTACCCTAACATGTCCATTCTCAGGGAGTGTAGCTAAATGTCGTGGGTCGTGGGTAGTGGGTAGTGGTCGTGGGTCGTGGGTGTGGGTGTGGGTAAATGTCGTGGGTAAAAAAGAAAAGTCTTCCAAAAAAAATAAAAATTAAAAAATTGAAAAGCAAAAAGGTGGAAAATTCATGAAATGAAAATCTCCTCGTACCAGTCCCATTCCCCTTCCCCGCGGTCAGCAAAACAAATAAGCGAATCCTTTAACGGGCACTAAAGAGGCATATAGGTGAAAAATAAAAGAAACTCTGTACACTGTGTAAACCTGAGGCAGGCTATAGAAAAAGTGGAGACTGAACTGCTCTTTCTCAAAGATGTCAACAGTGACTGAAACGTCCTTTCAGTTTAAGGAATCGTTACAGCAAAGATTTTGTACACAAAACAGTACAAAACAAAGCAAAAAACGAATCAAGAAAATTGTATTTCCGTACGGCAATAAAATTTACGCACACGGTCTCGCTTAACTTGAAAGGCTGGGAATGAAGGTGGTACCTTCTTATGGTAATAGAGCTAAAACTTCTTTAAGAAAGACTTAATCTATCCAAAAATATGAAATACCTCAAAATTGTCTTTTTTCCCTCCCCTTTGTCACGGTGATTGCATTCCATCATGTTAAAAAATCTCCGCTGATCATTGGAAATGCAGATCGAATAGAGATTAATAGTGAGCAGCTATTTCCATTCAGTGAGTTAGAGCTGTTCCTAGCCTGAATTTCATCCGATTACTTCGAGTCGTTATTACTCCCTCAGTAACGACGTTGTTGAGAGGAGAAAACGACTCGAAGCAATCGGATGAATTTCAGGCTTGAGCTGTCCCATACTTTCTGCAAATTGCAGGTATAATTTACTTTTGTAACGTTTATTTCGCGGCGATAGCTCAGGTATTGATGAATCTTCATTGGCAACATGTCTTTTATACAGTGATGTTGTGAAAAGGGAGTCAAGTCCCACGTAGCAAAGGAAATATCGGGAAGAGGACGAAGAAGTAGCCGTGACAAAAAGGCAATCAAGGAGTTAGAGATTTTCGTCTCATAAATATTTTACAACTTTTTTCTATTTGCTTCTTTTTTTCAATTAATTTACTTTATCTTTTTTTATTATTATATTTTTTTTGACCCACGACATTTACCCATACCCACGACCCACGACCCACGACCCACACCCACGACCCACGACCTCTACCCACTACCCACGACCCACGACATTTAGCTACACTCATTCTCAGGTCGACATATCAGTTTGCTGAGTACACCGCTCTTCTGGCGGCTTCCGATTTTGCTTTTTTGCTTGATGCATATGTTGTGATTCAATTTTATCCTTGATTCAAATTTTATTTCCCTTTGTTTTTGGGCATGGTATTATTATTTGTAATGTAAGATAATGAGTTTAAAACAATAAAGGGAAATAAAATTTAAACCAAGGATCACCCTCTGGAAACGAGTTTGATAGAGTGCTATTAATTTTTGATTTATGCAGCAGACACCAAACAATTACGCGATCAGATCATATGTCAAACACAAGATACTTGGTCGATGATAACTGCTAGAAAATCATGAAACCTTGCAAGGTTTTCTCCTAACCATCGGTCGAAAGTCGAGGCTGTAAAGACTGGTATATATCCTGAATCCAGTATAATCATTTTAATCTGCGTTTTCACTAGCTGTTTCGAAAACACCTGAAATTGAGGGTCATTTATGGTAGAGGGCACCACCGAAACTCACGTGAGTATCACCTCAGTATTGCACATACGAACAACAAGAAAAAAAAAAAATAAAGCTAAGGCCCGGTTTAAACGTCGAATTTCACCTGTGCCGATCTTAACGCGAGAGTTAAATGCATGTGAAGTGCGACGTTTGAATCATTCGACTCCTTAAATTTGTAAATGCGACGTTTGCTGTATCTGCGACTGAAACTGTCAAGGATTCGAGCTGACTTTTTATTCAAACGTCGCATTTCACATGTGCCGAACTGAATGCATGAATTTTATTAAATTATTATTATATTACTGGGAATATTGAGAAATAACGGAGTTAAATTTAGCCTCACACGCAGGCGTTTTTAGGGGAGCTCGTTTTTCATCCCTCCGAAAGTTAAATGCGACGTTTGAATCAAATGCCTTATTTAACTATTCTAGTCGACTAAATAGGAATAACGTCGGCACATATGAAATTCGACTTTTAAACTGGGCCTAATAATTACATAATTGATGGTAGACGTTCTTTCTCGTACTTCCTGAATTCAGTAGTCAGCTCTTACTGAATTGTGATGCCCCAGTTCACGTTCTTTACAGGACCAAAACCATGGGCAACAGAATTGATTGTTGTTACAACTTGCGTTGGTCCTACCAATGTATCTTCCCATGCATTCGTTTTTGCACATACACCGGGCGTCGAGTCTGGTACAACTACGACGGATCGGAAATGGTCCAGCCCCTCGTACATCTATTCCTCCCCCAGACCACGCGCGTTAACAGTTTGCCGGAAGAACTTCACGGAATTAACGACGACAAAGATATGTATCAAGTAGAACATCATGGTGGTATGTAGCGATAAAAAAATATTGATTAAATAAACAAAAAATACTGAATGAAGGTGTGAAGAGAGCCAATGCGTATATTGTTAAGTTGGTATTAATAGCATTACGATATGTGTCGATGTAAATATTTAAGTATGTAGGCTATGTAAGTTACTTCTTGTTTTATTAAAGTGTCTGGAGCACTCACTTTAATAAAACAAGAAATAACGTACTTAGCCGAGCATACTTCCCTCATGTAGCGGTCTCTCAAAAGTGTTTCAACAGGAACGAACGACTTAACGAGTAATTAAAACAAGAAAAGCTTTTCTTCGATATTCCGCTGCAGAGATAGCCTGCGAAAACATCTGTTTCTCCTCGCTCTTCGCCGCTGGGGACGTTTCGCGCGAAACGTCCCCAGCGACGAAGAGCGAGGAGAAACGGATGTTTTCGCAGGCTACTGCAGAGATTGTAAGCCCGGTGTTCACTATCGCATAAGCATAAGCATAAGCAGTCAGTGCAAACGAGGAAGGTATTGACGTCGAAGTCGAGGCTGGGAAGCTCGTTGTTGATTTCGTTGAGGAACTGGACAAGAAACATGACCTGGCGCTTAATATGATGGGGAATTACGCTGGCCAAACAGTTGGAGGTGTGGCGAACACTTCCACTCACGGATCAGGGATTTTCAGTGGAATCATGGTAAGGTGTTTCAGCTCTTTGATAAGCAGTGAAAAATTGGGACGGGGTTTTAAACATTAGTGCCTGTGGCTGCTCCCTGCCGCAGCGGAATGGTTGGCGTCTCGGGAGACAAATGCTACCATGGATGGTCTCTTTCCTCCGCACGGGTTCCCGCAGGACTTCCAAAAATATTAAGCGCGCGTGGGAGCCTCCCTTTGACACGAGGAAGGCTTTGCGGAGGACTGAGAGAGATAGATAGTATAAAATTGCAGGGCCCCACTGAAAACCACTAAGACGAGTAGGCTCCCTGAATAAATATTATTGTTATTATATTGATATAATTGGGCTGAAAATATCTCTGCGTCTTCCGAGATATGATGATCGTAAGTGTGCCTACAGTGACGGCATTCATAACTGCCCCAACTTCCTTGCCATGCAGGGTCTCTAGTCTGCTAGTTGGCCGAATGAGGACAGGAAAATTTCCGTGGAAAAAAGGTTGTAATTGCGCCTCCATTCCCCCACTACATACCACCACCACTTAAAGGCTAGCACACTGTCAGACGTCAGACTCAAATGTCTTTTTTCAGTCAACTTTAGTAGTGGGCCTTCATTTAATCATTTCTGGTGGAATCCAAGTGAAGGTGCGTGGCGGAAACGAAACCATACAAGACTGCCAAGAAAAGGTTGACAATGCCAAGTATGGAGATGACCCTATCCAGATAAACAGTGACGATGTACTGAAGGCCTGTGCAGTGGAACTTGGTTCTTTGGGGATAATTTACTCTATTACATACCGCTGTGTTCCCGTTTACAATCCCGAGGAGATCAGAACCGTGGTATATCTACCCTGGACTTCAATAGAGGATTTCGAGGTCCCTCAATCCTTTGCTGAAATGTATAGAAAACAAGAGGAAGGAGAATACTTCTCGTTGTTTGTAAATCCATACCCAATAGGACAAGGGTAAGTCACTGGTGTTATTAACTGGTGTTATTAAAACAAAAGAAATGTATTATTCATTGCTGAACCTCAAGATGATTTCTTTTGTTTTATTCCCCTAAGCCTCGCAGCCAAGTAAGAATTTTAATATATCGGAATTGGTCTATTCTTGGACGCGAGTGTCTAAACATGTCACCTGTTCCAATCAAAATTGCAGATTATTTAACAATTATTCCTCGAGCCCGAATGGGCTCTGAGCCAATAGCCCATGAGGCCGAGCAGAGGGCCGAATGGGCTATTGACTCAGAGGCCACGAGGGCGAGAGGAATAATCGTTTTAGTAAAATCCAACTAGTTGGTCAAAAATATCGAGAATAAAAAAATTTTAGCTAGTTGAAGCTGGACTTAATCCTTTTTTGCCGCCAAAAAAGCCCGCGCTTTTCGCTACTAGTAGGCTATGACATATAGCCTAGTAGCTCAACCAATCAGAACGCAGAATTGATAATAGACCACTAGTTGGATTCTACTCACTAGTGATATCCTCCAGGTGGTATATTTCCCCGTTTTTTAAATTGCTTGTTACGCTTGTAAATTTAGTTTCCTCCCCAAGTATATTGTAAACTGAGAACTGAGTATTGAACACGGACAGTTTCATTATTATTGTTTTTAGGGATAGTAACCACTTTAGCCAGCTACTTAATTTGCTCAGTCAAAAATATGCACGGACAATATCCGCTAGCAAATGTCCTCGTTTGTTTATGTACATACCGGCATTTATTTTCATATTGTTCCAACACGTCATCATCAATGAGTTTCAACAACTCATCAGAGAAATGTTCGAGTATCTCACGTATGTTTTCTTATTGAAGATCAAAGTAGGGTTAAAAATCCAAAAGAAAGAAAACAGACTAAAATAATTAGACAATTCAATTAACTAGTAAGACATATATTTTAACCGAGGGATATACGTGGTAGTAGCCAGCAGACATTTGTATACGAAAATTGTCCTCAGAAACCTTTTAAAATTTCTCACGTACAGATGTTCACCTTTTTTTCTCGTTGTTGTTGGTTTTGCAGGCTTGTTTTTTTATGTCTCCATTAAACGCGTTCCTCGTGTTTTGCGAGAGCATCATTGGACATTAAGAAACAGTGCTTGTTCCTCCTTCTTTTTTAATAAGCGTGGCCACCGCGGAATGGTGTTTGCCGCTGGAGCACCTGAATCGTGCCTTGGCTATGGTAATGCATTTGGCTCAAGATTACGCAGTTAATCAAAAGCAGCACTCTTTGCTACCTATATATGTGAGATTAGTGAAGACGGATGATCTGTTTTTGAGCCCAGCTAGCAAGTTTAGACCTGACGGAAGTACCAGTGAACATAACTGTTATATTGAGGTGAGAGCACAGGAAGGCCATACAATATGTATACATGTTTAACTACAAAATGATGTATCTAATCTGTGCTACTTCAGAAGTGATATTTTGAGCGATCTTAAGGGACTAGAGTTTGTCGTGATCAAGGGATCATTGTAACGTTTATAAAATCACAGTCAACTATCTTTCAGTGGACACCTCCCTAAAACCGACACCAAGATTTGGGCCCCTGCCGTTCCTTTGTACTTTTCTCTAATTCTCTACAAGACAGATAGATCCCTTTCTTTTGTTTTTGAGATGATTGAATGTATTCAAGCTAAAGCAAATCCCACACTCTGATTGGCTGACGCAAGAGACAGCGATGAAATGAAAAGGGGGCATTCAGGACCGTGCCACCATTGTGGGTGGGTGGGTAGGAAGGAAACGAGGTGGCATTAAAAGTTGAGTCTGGGCCTCATCCTCGACAGTTGTTTCGCTTTTTAAGTTTAACCATCCACGCCCCCAAATAATGTTGAAAGAAGTCTCCGCTGGCTTAATAGAGCCTTTTCACTAACGTAACCAGGGGCTATGCAAATTTATTGGAACCAAAGCAAGTTTTTACATAAGGAAAGGTTTAACATTCAAAGGATTGGTTTGGGGCACCAACACGGCCGCCGTTTTTTTTTTAGGGACATCAATATGGCGGACGTGACGTCATGTGAAAACACTCTAAAAACTCTTTTACTGTGCATCACTTTAGGTACCATTCCTGCCCGGAGCTTTCGGAACTGAAGAGTTTCAAGAGGTGGTGGAAAACAAACTCTTTGAAAAATTCAAGGCAAGACCACACCGGGGAAAGAATAACCAGCTTAACGAAATGAAGATCCGCGCTCTCTACGACAATGAGAAGTTGCACAAGTGGAGAGACGTGTACAGAATGTTTAACAAGGGAGGACAGTTTGACAATCAGTTTACAAACAAAATGGGTTTTAATTTGTTTCATGCTATCGACGAGCAGCCTACTGCCTAGAGACAAACGTTCAACTTCCTTTGGCGGCTTTCTTGGCTTAACGACAACGGAATTTTAAAAAAGCAGTTGAATGTTTTTGTAGGGAACTTAGTCTCGTCTGCCCATGCTAGTACTATAGTAGTAGTAGTGACTTCCGTTCGCATCTAGTATTTGAGGATGTGGTAGTCTAAGAAAGTGTGAAGTGTGAATTCTTTACAAGCCTAACCTAGCATGGCATTTTCTTGCATGTATTCCAGATTTGTTTAAAACGGAGAAAATTAAGTTGATGGCGCGAAACTTAGTCAAGTAAGGCCAATTTAACTGAAGTACTGTAGAGTACCGCAAATGACCCCCAACAGCAAATGATCCTTAGACCGGCCTTAGACCGCAAATGATTCCCGAAATGGACCACAAGTGATCCCGTGAAAAGTAGAGGAATGGATTGAATTTTAGGCATGGAGGGTGAATGTGCTGAGAACTTGGACAACGCGTAGCTAGAGCAATGAATTGAATAAAACTATAAATATCTGAACTGTTTCTTTTGTGCAATTTTTTTTTCTCCTTTCTTTCAAGCATTTCATGTTTCGTTGCTGTGAAAATTAAGGACAGGAAGGACGTTAAAAAGGAAACTTGTCTTTCATTTTAACGCCTAGGAATAGGGAAATAAGACCACTGTATTTATCACTCTGTAGAGGTTTCCGGTTTCGAAACATGTCGTGTCTGCTGCACAAGTTTACCACCCACGACAAGCAAACCTGTCTTGCAGTGTTTGTTGAAAAAAAGAACTACTCTCTGCAACAAGTTTTCGCAACTTGCAACAGCCTAATTTGTTGGATCACTATACGTTTCCGGGAAACTGCCCACCTGCCCCTCCCCTAAGCCAAGGTATCAACACTTGCGTGGTAACACGCGCAACATCGCTTTTCAACTCGTTTAGCAGCAATGTTGCAACACAAGGTGTACGCTTTTGTGCCCCGTTTCACTGTAGCTTAAGTGTTGTAGCGCAAAACACAACCTCGTTCCCAGGGTTCTCTCCTACCCGCCCTACGGAGAACCCTGGGAACGAGGTTGTACAAAACAGTAATTGTGAATGTTTCTTCTTCTTCTTTGCCCGTTCTTGTCTTGTAAAACAATTTAGCCAGCATTTCATGGGTGAATGAGAGATTGTAATGGCACACAAATAGTCTCTCCAATCATCTAATCGAGCACGGCACTCGGAAATCTTTGTCTACGCATACCAATAAAATCGCGCGAAAATAAAGTGACTTGAATGCCTGAACAAGCGATTTTGTTTATTCGTATTTACTCTACAATAGAGAAGGTCGACCGGAAGAAAACAGTTATATTTCTTTTATTACAACCAAAACATTCCAAGATTGAGTCAGCTGACACCTCTCAGTTTATTTTGTGAGCTTACTTGCTCAGCTTTTCAATGTTGTTTTTTGTAAAAATGATTCATTTACTACAAGAACACTTACCCAAATAGTCTTCTACCTTAATTTCTAACTCTGTTCCCACAAACCGACAATAGTAAGGCCATCAATAAAGGATCAAGCGAAAAAAAAAAGAGCTGACCACAATTAGTGACTCATGGGTAGGTTACGACCACGCCTGCGGAACTGGAAACAACGGAATATTAATTCTGAAATTTTAACGCTACATAATAAATCTCAAGAGGTATTAAAGTGGTTCTTCTCAAAATTTACAGTAGCCAAACTGCGGAAGCCTGCCGAATTTCTAAATAAGAAACTCAGAAATTGAGCCCCCACTGCTAATAAGTACATGAATGTAAAGTGAAAACATCCGTCGCATTTATATACAAGAAATAACTTACAGTCAATAGCAGAGAACAGAGATTGATGCTATACAAATAAATAATCTGTTGTCTGATTGTGTAACAAAGCGGAACAAGACAGTCACGACAAAAAGCTAAGGACTATGCCCAACACATTTCATTAATAACACAGAAATGTTTTAAATTTCATGTACACAAGTGGACAAAACGTAGAACCACAGGACAAGTTATCAATTTCATGCTGAGAGAATATTCTACAGTTCGCACAAAACTTTAAGTGAGACATCGATACACCAGCTTCTCTTGTGTCTGGGTTTATCTTTTGAGTCCGCAATTTTACAAGTTTTTTCTTCTGGTTTGATACTACTGACATAAACATTAATGCGCTACGGTGCGCCCATACAGTCAATTCATAGCCGCAGCATGCTGTCGCTCAAGTTCTTCAACAGATAACACTTTCCTTGCCAAGTCAGGGGTAGCTGACCGCTGACCAGGTTGAACCTGCTGAAGGACGTCTTCTCCGAACCATTTGGACAGGACATTACCTCCTCCCGCTGGGGAATGACTTTGTGTGGGAAGATTCATAACTGGACTGTTACCTGAAAAAAGGAGTTCAATACATAAGGTAAAGTACACTTCCCAAGTTTAAGTCGCTATTGAAAACGACTACAAACTACACGTTGATAACGATAGTACATGTGACCCTGTAATGCTCCTGGCCGCGGTTGTTCAAACGTTGGATAGCGCAATCCACCGGATAAATCACTATCCAGCGGTAAGCGTAATTGATTTCCGTAATACTTATCCGCTGGATAGTGATTTATCCGTTGGATAGCGCTATCCAACGTTAGAACAACCGGGGCCTGATGCCAGCACGCTCATCTCGGAGGTTATAAGTACCTCGGAATGGGGTACTGAAATCGTGCGGGAAAATTTTACAACATTCACTAATATGGCTCTAGTCAATTGGAACGCAAAAAAAACGTACAAGAAATAGAACCTACACTCCCCTCTTCGTTGGATTGCGGTTTGAACCGTTTAAGTGATTTAAATGGCATTTTTAAGTCTCTGGAATGACATAACGCACGCAACGTCTTTACACAACGCCCTTCAGTCGTCCACGCTCGTAACACCGTTATGTAAGCTTTATCAAATTAATGAAAATGCAACGGCACAGCAGTCAAGTAAAAAAAAACAAACTTTTTAAGAGGGTTGAGTCTGAGGACTGAGAGCGGACGCCTGAATCCCTAGGATAAACACTTTTCCCCAAACGCATAATCCCTGACTCTGAGCATACCGGTACTTTACGCAATGGTCGAGCGAATTTAGAGCATTACGGTTAGTGTTAAATGCTGTAGGAACTTTCAGCTCACTGTCTTTAACCGGACAACGAGGGAATTAAATCCTTACAACCCCGTTTGACCCTTGCAGGACACTAGTTAATGTAAGAACTAAGGAAAAACACATAAATCAATTTTTATTTTACATGTGCTGACTACTTAGTCTCAATCTCGCTTATTTCAAAGGTCGAAGTTCCACCGACAAAGAACCCACTTCCATCATCACCGCAAAATAACCTCTTTCATCCCCACTTTCGTGACACAAGGAATGCTTTGTTTGTTTAACTCAGGCTATCATGAAAAGAACGAAAATAACTCACCTCGTCTACCTTGCTGCAGGCCAGACTGAGGGGGGATATGAGGGGAGGAGCGTGCACCCATCATGGCTGCCGCTGCCGCTGCTGCTGCAGGGTTTACGGCTGGGTAACCTGGTGAGGGGCGCCCCCCATACAACATAGCTGGATGGTGTCCTGACATCATAGGGTACCTCCCAGCTGACTGTGGAGGCATCTGCTGCATCCTCATGGCTAATGGGCTCATTCCTGGTGAGGGCACTGCCACCGGGGGCGACCCTGCGGAAGACATCATCCTCAAGTAGGCTGGGTGGATATGCGGTGGCATCATCCCAGGAAGCATAGCGGATCTAGGGGGCATTCCCATACCCGGCATGGGGGAGTTAAACGGGGTTTGCCCCGGATGTCCGTGCATCACTGGCATGCCAGACGGAGACATTCTTCCATTTAGTAAATGTGGGGATGGACGTGGACCATGAAATTGTCTTGGGGCCTGATGAATTGGTGTGGGCCTTGTCCCTCCTCCATGAATCCTATGTGATGGATGGTTAAGAGGCAAACCTTCGTGCCGAGTTGTCACTTCATCGCTGTTCATCCTCTGGACACTCATGTTGTTTGGACCGTTTTGAGACATAAGGTGAGCGCCTAATAAACTCTCACCCCTCTTTGCATCTTCAATGGAAGCTACACTGTCTGTAGAACCGTGCGCATGCTGCTCAAATGAATGAGTAAGTGGCCTTCCGTCATTGATGCCTACCACTTTTGTGATGCCACCTCGAACACTTTTAGAGGGGCTTTCAATGGAGCTGCCGCTTTGCCCGAATAGCCCCGCTAGAGGCTTATTGCCATCATCTCTTGTCATCATTCCTTTTGACATCAACTGCTGAGGTGACAACAAAGCTGTTTTGTCAACTAACGGATGCCTCTGAGGCGTGCAAGGCGCTGAATGAGGAAGCGTCTTTGCCGGTCTTGCGGGTGATCCCGCATTTTGGTTAAATAAATGCAGAGGGAATGCAGGGTCAGAGTTAACGCCACTTTTGAGGCTAGAAAACGGTATTTGGGGAGATCCTGGCAAAGGTTTGAAGGCAGTTGGCTTCTGCAACACGGGTGAACCATCCTGGGTCAAGAGGGCCTCATTTGACTTAATTGACCTGGGTGAGCCAAGAAGGTCTTGTTGCAGTGACGCCTGGTTTACCTCTTGGTGCCTTTGAAACAGCGCACCTTTAAAGGGATCTCCAGCAATTTCAGATTGTACAAGTGGCCTTGATCGAGGCGAATATCCAACTGGCAGCGTGCTGTCAGTTCCTGGAGCACTCAAATCGTTCCTGTTTACAGAGTTCTGTTCCTCTGGTATTATATACTTTTCCCTACAATGATCCGGGTCCAATGTTTTCGCCTCGCTCTTTGGCGTCTTTTGGTCCATGCGATCTTGGTGGATCTTTCTCATGACAGAGGTTGGCATAAAGGAGCGATCAATGATGCGTGGGCTGGCAGACTGAGAAGACACTGTCTTAGGATTCACTATTGTGTGGCCACGCTGTTCAGGCGGGCCTCCCGAAGTAACATGTCTATCTTGCTGTCTCCTTACTGTTT